TTCCCCACATTTCAAACATATGTTTCTTAAGTATTTCTTCTACATATACTGAACACCATATCAAATGATATAATGTTGCACACACATCAAACCTAACAAACTCCTTAGGAAAAAGAGTCCATTATATTTACCCTTAGTTTTTCAGTCCATTGTTTTTCTTTCTTCATGAAGTCTCAATCCTCTCTCTATTATCTTTTCCTTGATATTTGAAGAATTCTTTTAGCAATTCTTTAAAGATAGATCTGCTGGAGATAAATGTTCTGTTTTCCTTTGTCCCAGAATATCTTCTTTTCTCCCTTAAACCCTAAAGGATAGAATCATGGGATATAGCATTCAGGGCTGACAGTTCTTTTCTTCTAGCACTTGAAAAATGTTGTCACTTCTTTCTGGCTTGATGGTCACAGATGAGAACCCCACTGACATTTGAATCCTTTTTTCCTTATAGGTTTGCATAATTTATATGTAGCTGCTTTTGAGATTTTTTTTTTCTTTTTCTTTAGCTTTCCTCAGTTTGACTGTGATGTATCTTGGCATGAATTTCTTTGGGTTTGTCCTGTTTGGCTTTTTCAATATGAATGTTTATGACTTGTGCCCAATTTGGGAAATTTTCAGTCAGTATTTCTGGACGTTTTTTTGGTTTTGTTTTCAGTCTATTTTCAAAGTGAATAATTTGTGTTCTATATTCAGATTTATTTATCTTTCTGTCATCTGTAATCAATGATTGAGCCCATCCAGTAAGGTTGGTTTTTTTTAATTCCATTATTATATTTTTCACTTACATAATTCCCACTGGAATTTTAAAAACCATCGTCAAATAATTCCAATATCTGTGTCATTGCAGTGTTGTGATCTGTTGATTATCTTTTCTCTTTTGAGACTTTCCTGGTCTTTGGTATGATGAGTGATTTTCAGTTGTATTCTAGGCATTTCAGGTGTTGTGTTTTAAGATTCTGGATTTTATTGAAATCTCTTATTTACCAGGCCTCCACTACTGCAGAGTGCAAGTCCAGGCTTCCCACTTGGCCTCCACTGATACCATGGAAAGGGGAGAGGTGTCTTGTTCCCTGACTGTGGATAGAAGTCTAGGTTCCACCCTTGACCTCTGTTGATCACTGTTGGTCTCTGATCAACATGAGGAGAGAGTTGATCAAGGTTTCTTCTACATTTTTCAGGAGTAATTCAAGTATTGTAAAAAAAAATATTTCTATCTTGCTAGAATATTCCTTTCCTGAGCCTTTGGCTAAAGAGAGCAGACAATTCTTGGAACTTTTTTTTTTTCCCTGACGTGATATCATTTCTGGGTTTCAGTCTTCTTCAGTGCCCAGTCAAGGATCCATAGGAGGCAACATGAAAACCCAAACAACTCACTGCAGTATAATTCCTTGAATACCAAGGCCTCTGATCAGATCAACGTCTTCTCTACATCCTTCACCATCTCTTTTGTTGGTTTTTATAATATGTTCAGGATTTTTAGTGATACTGAGCAGAAGGAATAAGCTGAAAGGTCTCTACCTCATCATGTCCAGAACAGGAAGCCAGCAATTCTCTTTCCCATTATACAAATGTGTAATTCTTTGACTTTAATTAGAGAAGTCGATGTTCTTTTTGTAAAATAAATGAAAACCAATAAGCAATTACTAGAGATCCAATAGACACTGCAGTATGTTGTATGTAACAAGAAAGTTTCTTTGTTTCCATTAGCTATCCATCTGTCCAGTATTTATTCAGTAAGAAAAACATTTTTTAACACCAGAATACGTAAAGCAGATATATTTGTTAATGCTTCATGTGTGTTTTCATGTGGGATAAAAGGAAAGCCTTAGAATTGTAATTCTCAGTTTAAATGATTAAAATTTCTTCAATGGGGGTGCGTGGGTGGCTCAGTTGGCTAAGCGTCTGCCTTTGGCTCAGGTCATGATCCCAGGGCTCTCTGCCCAGTGGGGAGTCTGCTTCTCCCTCTGCCTCTCCCTTTGGGCTTGTGCTCTCTCTCTCTCTCTCGCTGACTCTCTCTCTCTCAAATAAATAAATATTTATTTATTTGTCAGAGAGAGAGAGGGAGAGCACAAGCAGGGGAAGCTGTAGGCAGGGGGAGAAGCAGGCTCCCTGCTGAGCAAGGAGCACAATGTGGGTCTTGATCCCAGGACCCTAGGATCACGACCCGAGCCGATGGCAGATGCTTAACTGACTGAGCCACTCAGGTGTCCCAAATAAAATCTTTAAAAAAATAAAATAAAATAAAATTTCTTCAGTGAATCCTTTCTGTCAACAAAAATCACAAGCCTTGATATTGCATATTGTGCTATATTTTTATTTGCTTTATTTTAACCTGTTTTTCTTTGGTTTTTCAATAAATCAAATAAATATTTTTTTTTTAGATCCTAAAGGAAAATGTGGGCCTCCTCCACCTATTGACAATGGAGACATTACCTCATTCCCATCATCAACATATGCTCCAGAATCATCAGTAGAGTACAAATGCCAGTCCTTCTATGTACTTCAGGGATACAGGACCATAAGATGTAGAAATGGACAGTGGTCATCACCACCAAAATGCTTAGGTAAATATTTCAGTATTCTCATGGGTCCTGGGAAAATCAGTATAATAGGTGTTTTGGTGTTATTGATATAATGTTCATGGATTAACAAACATTTGTTGAATGCTGACTACCAAATACTAATGTGTGAAGAAAAAAGCTGGAAAAAAACTCTTGCTCTAGCAAAATATCATTTAATGAAAGGATTTGATTTCTTCATGTTAAAATTGACATTATGAATCTTTGATTATAACATTTAATTATCACACCTTAAACATAGTACCTCATTTTACATCATTAATCATTTAAAGTGATTTAAATTGACACAATGGATTTTCAATGAACTGGTTTGGAAAAGGTTTTGAAAATGAAGCCCTGGGCCAGTATAGAAGATTCTACTTGAAAGTCTGAAATTCTGGGGCGCCTGGGTGTTTAAGCATGTGCTTTCAGCTCAGTTCACGATCCCAGGGTCCTGGGATGGAGCACCGCGTCAGGCTCCCTGCTCAGCAGAGAGTCTGCTTTTCTCTCTCCCTCTGCTGCTCCCCCTGCTTGTGTGCTCACTCTCTCTCTGTCAAATAAATAAATAAAATCTTAAAAAAAAAGTCTGAAATTCTGTTTTCAATGTTTTATCTTTTTTTTTTATCTTCAGAGGCCTGTACAGTATCAGAAGACACAATGAGAACACATAATATACGATTTCGATGGTCTTCTGAGCCAAAACTTTATTCTAAAATGAGGGATATTATTGAATTTGAATGTGTCCCTGGACATCATCAAAGGACCCCACCGCATACATTCCGAGCCACCTGTCGGGAAGGAAAACTGACGTATCCTCAATGTTGGTAATACAGTGGTGAAGATGCAGTCCTAAAATTAAAATATACATTTAGTCAGAATTTTTCATTATCAATCCAATTCTCAGTTTATTTTGTCAAATATTGTGTAACTTATTTATATTCATAAATCAGAAGTTGTATTAAATATTATGTGGATGATGTAATTATAATCAGAGAGATGAATAAATCACTTCTTAAAAGCGCCTCATTAAAACTTGGCAAACCAAAATGCTTTGTGTCCTACTCATAAAATATCTATGGCAAGAAATTAGATTCAATCACTCCAGTGCCTACTTCCATCCATCTTTCCCTCTTTCTCATACCTTCTTCCATAACTTCTGGGGTTGCCTGAGACTCTCCATTTCAGAGGAAATGGTTGAAAATGCTTTTCTCCATCTTTAATACAATTTTACTTCAAAAATACATAAAAACATAACTATGTCATACCTATGTGAGTAATAAGATATAAGTAGTTATTATTAGCTTTTGCTTATCTACCAGATATAAGCAGTTATTATCTACTTTTGCTTATCTATCAAATGATGAAATGCAAGATCTTCTACAAGATGGCTATCTAGCACACATAAAAATTCAAACAAATCATAAAGAGAAATTAGAATCTAATTGGGTACATACCT